AATTTAATACTCCGTAATCCATGTCAAATCCTTTTGGCATTACTGCCAGGAGAGAGATTAAATGTGTGTGTGCAAACATGCATGTTTGTGTGCATGTTTTGGTAGTATATACAGTCGTGTGCAAAAGTTTGAACACCCCTGGTCATATTACATGCTTTTTTGGTTTTCTAAATGAATATAAATGAATATATCCTCTACAGAGAACACACAATTTTTCGCTAGTGCTAGTTTAGTTTATTTGCACTCACAAAATTAACAAGACATGTAGCTTTACCAGGGGCACCCAAACTTTTGAATACAACTGTATTTGGTGCATGTTTAAGTGAGTGAGTGCAGTGTAGGGCTGAGTATTATTTAAAAAATTCCATTACTGAAAACAAAATTATACCTCTTTTCTGATTGTGACAAACAAGACATTTAAGAAATAATTATTATTTATTAATAAAAAATCTATCTTCCTTGGCCTTAAAAAATAATCACTTCACTTGGATACTGTAGTTAAAAAAAACAAGCCATATGCCAATAAGTGCTCATTTTGGTGCTGGCTGAATGTAACAAGTTTACACACTGACAAACACCATTGTAGTTAACTTTCTTTTGCAAAAGTCCATTAGCTGCCCAATAAAGTGTTATCTCCCTGCTGATATGTCCTCACTTTAAAAAAAAAACATCTGTGGCTGGTTGTAGTGTTTCTCCAAGAACATTTTTCTTCAAAGGAGATCAATCCTGTTTTTAATCAAATATTAAATCAGATTTGATGTTACTTGACTTTGCAATTACTAGTTTAACTCATTTACTCCACAAGGAACTGTTCTCATTTAACATTAACTTACTTTTTAGGAAATACCGCATGAGTCATCGTGACTCTGTACATATTCGTGTGTGTATTCCACAAGTGGATATTAGCTAGCCATTCAGATTAAAGTGTGTGACAGCCACATGTTCTGTTTCTGATGTTTACTGCCTTTGGAACCACTCAGAGAGAGAGGGAGAGAGAGAGAGAGAGAGGCAGGAGCATGTGTGCTAGTTTTTTGAGCATGTGCAGACGGATGTAAGTAATCGAATGATACAGGAAGAGAGAGTGTGAGAGAGGAAGGTGAGATGTAATGTGGAGTTACTCAGACTGGACACTAAACATGCACTCAAGCTGCATTCCATTCCGCAGGGTCTTTAAGTGGTATCGTCATACTCCCTACACACTTGAGCATGGAATGTCGGTTAAGGGAACTGCAGTTGATAAATACCTTCATTCAGAACATCCTGCAACATTTTCTCTCTCTCTGTTTTGCAATCACCCTTAAAATGTCTGAGTACTACTGCTAGGAACTACAGGTGACTAATAGAATGCACTTTCAATGCACAGCATCTGCTTTATTAGAAACCCTAACTTTGTAGTTCCTCTCAGTGACCACTTCATGAGGTCTACCTTATAGGTCCATGTTATACAGTAATGTGAAAAAGTTAGTGACAATCCCTTAGTCTGTTTAATTTTTCAGTGTCAGAAAAACCTAGAAAACCTAAATTTCACAAATAAAAATACACAGAATCCTTTTTTTAGTATTTAGTGTGTCCACCCTTTGCCTTTATCACATTCTTTTCAGGAGACTTGCTTTCAGTTTGTCAAAGAAATCTGCAGGGATATTTTTCTACACCTCCAAAGTTCAGTCTTAGACGTTGGTTTCATTTTCTGCTTCTTACGATCCAAATAATCCCAAACACATTTAATGATCTTGAAGTGTGGACTCTGGAGTGGTCAGTCCATTGTTCTGAGAGCATCAGCAGCTTCTTTCAAATTTTGCACTTTTTTCCAGTCTATGTCTTTTTTTTCAGTAAGGGCTTCTTGACAGTTACACATCTTTTCAGACTCATAGTGTTCAGATGAAATCTTTATGTACTGTTTATATGATGGTGACAGTTTTGGTGGTCTACCAGGTCTTGAACAGTTTCTTGAAGGCCCATTTTCTCTATATCTTTTAATACATTTTTGAACTCCAGTTTTGGAAACTCTGTTTTTCACTCATTTGTCTTTGAATTCTCTCTTCCTTATGCAAGTGGACTATCTTATATCTAATCTCCTCCACAAAAAATGAATAACTGATACTTAATGTTTTATGAAGGGTGGTCTCTGACTGTTGAGCTGCACTATAGGTATACAAGTGCAGACTCTAACTCATCCGTTGATGCACAATATGTCAGCCATCCTCTACGCTGTTCATCGTCGGTCAGTTTCTGACCACAGGACCGCTGTTGACCACATATTATTTGGGTGGTGGGTCATTCTCAACACAGCAGTGACCAACATGGTAGTGGTATGGTAGTGTGTGTGATGCTGGTAAGTTTAGCATTGTTGCTAGTTTTTACACACATCATTGTCACCGCTAGATAAAGAGTCATCCACCAGATAAACATATGCCTCTATGTGGTCAGAACAGACCACTGATGAACGAGGATGGCTAATGCAAATTGTGCATCAACAGATGTGCTACAAGGTACGGGTTTC